AACAAAGTACACACAAGATGTTTTGAAAAGATTTCGGATGATGGAATGTAACACTGCAGCAACACCAGCAGAGACAGGACAGAAGCTTACACCTGGTAATGATGAAGAGCGTGTAGATGTTACTAACTACCGCAAGATTGTAGGGAGTTTGAGGTACCTCTGCAATTCCAGACCTGATTTAAGCTATAGTGTTGGCTTGATCAGTAGATATATGCAAGATCCAAGGGAGTCTCACATGTATGCAGCTAAGAGAATTCTGAGGTATCTTCGTGGTACAGTGGGTTGCGGAATCCTATTTCCAAAACCTGAAACAGCAACTACAACAGTGGAATTGATGGGATATTCAGACTCAGATTGGTGTGGTGATAAAGGAGATAGGAAAAGCACTGCAGGTTATGTTTTCTTCTTAGGAGGAGCTCCAATTTCGTGGAACTCAACTAAGGAATCTGTAGTGGCTTTATCCTCATGTGAAGCAGAATACATTTCTGCATCAGAAGCTTCGTGTCAGGCAGTTTGGTTGAAAGTAGTTTTGCAAGAATTGAAAGTGGAGCTGTCATGTAAAGTGAAGCTTTTAGTAGATAATAAATCTGTTATAGATTTAGCCAAGCATCCAGCTTCACATGGGCGGAGTAAACATATCAAGACACGTTTTCATTACATTCGTGATCAAGTGTGCAATGGAAAACTCGTTATTGAATATTGCAAGTCAGAAATTCAACTTGCAGATCTTTTAACTAAAGCTTTTAAAGCTGAGAGATTCATTTGGTTGAGAGATGTTGTTGGAGTTGTTAATATAAATACAACTTTGACTTAAGGAGGCATGTTGGGTATTAAGTAAAAGTTTTGTTTTTTCTATTATGCTTTACCTGCTGTTGTCTATATAAACAACAACCCTTTACAATAAATATACAGTTTCGTTTTTACGTAATATTTTTTTCTTACGTTGCATGCATGCTCTCTGATCTAATAATTATAACACCCCTTCCAACAAGAATATATCAATGCATTAATTTAACACAAGTTGTACAATACCAATTGCAATGTTTATTTGATGGCTTAATATTAATATTAATATTAATATTAACTTTTGTGGGGTCTATAAAATGTGGTTAAAAACAACAAAATCTTAATGATAAATTTAAGAGTGTTAAACTATGTTTAATTTGATCAGTCGATTTAATAAATAAATTAAATTAGATTAAAATATTTATAATTTAAATTAAATCATACCTATTTTATAAATATTTAAGTTATGATCTACTTAAACAAGTTTATAGGTTTTTGAGCATGTCCATTTTAAAATAATAATAATTTTTAAAATAAAAATAAAAATAATATTATTTTATTGATATATATATATATATATATATATAAATTAATTTAATAAAAAATTAGTTTATTCTAAAAATAAATATAAAAATAAATCTCTAATATTTACTTGTTTATTTAACGATTAAAAAGAATTACTATTTTATATTAATAAATTAAAAAAATATTAATAAAAATAAATTTTTAACTTTTATTTTAAGACTGAATTAATATCTTATCTTATAATTTATATATTAAATTATTATATTAAAATAAAATAAAATTTTATTAATATAATTTAAATTTAAAAATAATTTTTATTTTATTTAAATATATTTTATTAATTATTTTGATATAAATATGTTAATATTTTTTTTGTATTTTTCTAAGAATGATCCATTAACTCATTCTACATAAAATATAATTCATTTTTAAATCAGGTAGGCCATCGATATATTTTACAAACCAATCCAAATTAAGCCGTACCACCAGCTTTTACATTATTTGTATATATTTTTTAATCAAATTTTACTTCAACTATTAATTCAAATATATTTTTGGTATGGATCATAAACATTAGATATATAAAATATTATTTATTAAAATCAAGAAAATAAATATTTTTATGTACAAAATCAATCCTTAAAATTGATGTGAGTATAATATTAATTCTAAACACATTATATATAAGACTCTACCAAATCATTGTGTCCCAATTCCTCAAAATGTTTCTAGGAAACCTAAAAATTAGGAGGGAAATTGCAATGTCGTTGCATTAAAAAAAATATATTTTTAACACATTTTTATGAATATATAGTTATCATTTAAAACGATTAAGATTCATATACAAAATCACATTTTTTATTTATAAATAGGTCACCGAACAAAATTCAATTTATCTTCATATATATCTAAGTAAAAATAATTTTTAAATCTATTTAAAAACACATGAAAAGATAGTTGTATAACCTCACATATGAAGAATCAAAATCCAATTATTCCCATTGTCCCATTTACCTATCTAATCAATCATATAATAACCAATCATATTTGTATATTATATCAATTAATTTGTGTCATGCCATCACTAACTCATTCATTTTTCTCTTTCTATATAATTACAAAAGATGCTCAATTGCTTTGATTTTGTTAAATAAAAATATTGAAATGAGATATGCTATGTTAAAATGGATTTATATTAATGATTAAAACTTAATTTAAAAATGAATTTTCAATTCTTATAATTTAAATATATATATATATATATATATATATATATATTAAAAATTGATTTAAATTTGAAAGACTACAAACATATCTTTTAACTTATTTTTCAAATAAAAAATATTTATTACAAAAAAATTTATTTAACTCTTGAAAAGATACCAATTATATTTATTATAATCAATGTCATTATTTATATGATTAACTAATTTCTTGAATATTGCCCTGATTGAGAGGTTTTATTAACAAGTTCTTATTGAAATAATTTAGCTTTCTCCTTACACAACTTTTAATTTATTATTATTTTAATTAAAATATTGTGTTGTTGGGCTCTTGTAACTGGTACAAAATATTTTCAAAAGCACCTCCATAAAAAAGTTAGGAATTTGTTAATATTATCATAAAATAACTCACAATGATTGTGAATTTGAATATTGAAAGTCTAATAATATCACAAGCATTTAAAGATTTAATTTTATTTCAATAAGAACACACTTGCATATTTGTACTATTTAATTGTTCATGCATATGAATAAATAATTGATATCTTGAGAAGGAAGCATGCAATTGATATCTTACACATGACCAATTCGTCAAATTAAGTACAAAACAAAATATATTACACAAAAAGGGGAAGGGTGATGAGTAATGCTGTTACTAGTATTTTAACTCTTAGAATGTACTAGTAATTTATATATGTTACTTTTACATAATAAATGTGTAAAAACAAATATAATTAAATTTAATCAATATGTACAATATAAACTTAATGACATAAATTTGACTATAATAAATAATTTTCTTTTAATCACATGTTTTCATTCCAATAAAAATTAAATAAAAAAAAATAAAACAAAAACATGGGAAATGTTTTTGGTGTGGTTTGAATGGTTGTGTTGTGTTTTCATTCTTCTCCTCGTTAAGAGTTTGGGCTATTGCTACACCATAAACAATTTATTAAATATTTGTTCACTGTACTTTTAATATCAAAATAATTTATTTTTATCAACTATATTTTTATATAATTTGTAATTTTAATCAATTTATACAATTTTTAATTGTACGGTGAAAAAACAAGCATAAAATAATATAAAAATATACTTATTTTAAGAAAGGAAAATATTTATTCAGAAAATAATAAAAAGTTAGAATTAAATGTTTAGATGATTTTAAGTAATTTATACATTTATTTATTCTAAGATAAAAAAATATAAAATAGAATAAAAATATACTTATTAAAAAATAATATGAAAAGGAAACAAATTATCTATTTAGAAAACTAATAAAAATAATAAAATTAAGTTTTCATCTAATTACACAATTGCTTATATAATTATTAATTAATTTTTTATGAATGAAATAACTTTTTATAAATTAATATTTCATATTTTTAAAATACTAATTTATATATATTATAAAATATTTTTATTATAAAATTGTATTTATTCTAAAAATATTTAAATTTAAAGTAATAAAAATAATATCATATTAAAAATGTTCATTTTATTTTTATAATATTTTTACATTTATTACATTCTATCAAAATAACATAATTAAATATAACACAAAAATGAGTATTTATTAATATTTAAATATTTATATTTAATAAAAAAATACTAAAAACTGACCTACAGAATATTAAAACTCTACCTCAGAACTAAGTTATAATATTTTAATTCTTTGGCCAAATATATAAAATATTTTTCTTTTTCTTTTATTATTTTAAAATAATCATAGTATAAATAGGTGTTTCAATATCATTTTAAGGGGAGGATTTTGTAGACAATCTTTTGGTCAAGAGCCAAATTTGAGGCAAGAATTTTTAATATTTTTCATCAGAAATAAGAATGAATCATAAAACTTTTATATATTTTGAGCCTTTTTCAATAATTGGATTGTTTATATTTTTGAGTGTGTTATTCTTTATGTATTCTTAATGTTTCAGTTGATCTTGATTCTAATGTTTCTTTTACTATGGAAATAAATTGGATGATTATATTATTATTAATGAACTTATTTGAACTTATATCTCCTTCACTAATTCAATAATATTTTTAAAATATTAAATAAAACTAACAATAATTTCAACCCATGAAAAAAACAAATAAAAATAAGATAATAATATTTACTTAAGTTTTATAAATTAATTTTAATTCATAAAAAACTCAATTCACTTCTTCTGTTATTTTCTGAAAGGTTTTACAAACAAACTAAGAGACTGGGTAGATGATACATCATATGCCATTGTTTTCATCTGAAATAAAACAAAAAATCTACTAAAAATTTAACCAAAAGACATCTAATTTTCATGATATTTCAATGAAAAACAAACTTAGTAAATATGCCATGAACTGTAAACTAATAACATTAATAGATAAAAGCTAAAGGTAAAATTACCACGCAGTTATGGCTGCATTATGCAAACACAAAACCATGCAGAAAACATAAAACCACTAACATAAATTGCACTATTGTTGAGCACATTGCACTCGGTGACCAGATGGCTCATCATCGTCTTCATCGTATGCCTCGCGTTGATGTTGATGCTGCTGCTGCTTTCGTCTCATCTCCTCCTTGAAGTTGACATCATGCAAAGTGGCCTCCTCACACTCTTCCAGCTCCATTTCTGACATTTGCTTGCTGCTCTTCTGAGGTAAGACCTTTTCCAGTAATTGACATTGATCAGGAGAAAGAAACCCTGAGTCTGGGAAATCAACATTGAACTGGATGTAGAGACTACCCTTCATGAATGGCCTATTGTGTTGTGGCATACCCTCATCATTTATTGCTTTATATTGACCTACATAACAAAATTAAAATACATATATTAGAAAATTGAATACAAAAGTTGAATGAAAATCCAGTTATTTGAACTCCAAAAATTTTATTACCTGGCTTGATGACTTCCCCAGGGTTTGATTTGATCAGTAATTGCCTACCATCAAGATGTGTGACAGCAAACTGGAAGCCACAGAGTGCCTCGTGTAAGCTGAGATTGTGATCAATGAAGAGATCATCATGCTCCCTCCTGAACTTTGGGTGCTCCTTCACTTGCAATACAAAAACAATGTCTCCAGTGATTGTATCAGGCTGCAACAAGAGTGCATTTGATGTAAAAAACCAACATTACCAAGTCTATAATTATCGACTTCAAAGCAATATTTACTAAGTGTTAATTCAAATAACATGCAAAATATAACCACTTACAGCTTCATCAGCTTGTCCTTCAAAGACAATCTTCTGACCCTGCTGCATCCCCTTCTCAACATGCACCTCCAGCACCTTCTTTTCCTGAGTAACCTTGTTTCCTTTGCACTGAGGACATTTATCTCTCTCATTAATAACCTCACCTGCATCAATGAAAGATGATGAGCTGGAGAAACCATCATAAAGCAACCTGACAAATATGGGAAAACAAAGTTTCCATTACCAGATCCTCTGCAGTCAGAGCAGACATGTTGCATCTGTTGAATCATGCCTAGTCCTATCTGCCTTCTTGTGACCTTCATACCAGTGCCTTGACAACCAAAACACCTACCAGCTGTTCCACTTTTTGAACCTTTCCTGAATTATCAAAAAGTGAATGTAATTCCATTGTTATAGCTGATAACTTATCAAATTCTGACAAAAAACATAACCATAAAGATACATTACTATATTCAAATAATCAGATATCATGTCTCAGCATAAGTCATTGGCACTATGCTAATTTGTATTTCACAAACTCTTCATATTTTCAAGTGTGAATTATAACATGACTCAATATTAATAATTATGTTAATGTAAGATATAACTATATAAATTAGAAATTGTGGCATCACAAAAATTTGACTTGGATTAGACAAAAGTAATAATTTTAAACCAAACGCACAGGTCAAATAACAAATGAAGATAAAAGGTAAAGAAAAAGTCTTGGCAGGAAGAAAACAGAAAGCTGTTGCAGAGAGAACAAAATTGAGATAACGGGGTTCACTGGAGCAGGATAGAGAGAACAGAGAGAGGTGTTAGATAAAAATGTGTCTCTATCTGAAAGTAGCACAGAGTTCTCACAACGGGATAGTTCTCACAATTTACACTACATCATTACCATTCCACACAAAAGACCACAGACGTGGCCAGACACCACAAATATGATGCCCACTATAGCAGTAAAATCATGTACCAATGACAGCTATCCCATGCACAAGCACTAATACATGTAAATGTCGGCATATCTCGTTTATGGTTAAAAGGACATCTTACACACATCACTTCATGCTCCATTTGGAATTCCCCGTCGACAGCATAAGAAATGTTGAACATATATGAATTAAAAAAATATAGCATCAACCTAATCCAATGTATGTTTTCAGAGAAAGCAAGGTGAGAGAGCAAATGCATAACACTGTGAAATACAATCATGCATTCATACAGTTAAAGTAATTGTATTGAAGGTTAACATTCTCTAAAAACTTAGATGTACAAAAATATAAACATAAATAGGTGCATACCCTTTACATTTTGGGCATAATACGTTCCTGGAAAGAGATAATTTCTTAGTTGTGCCATTATAGACATCCTCCAAGGAAACCTTTAGAGAATGCACCACATCTTCACCGTGCTTTTGTCTTCTACCTCGAGAACTACCACCACCACCTTAGACATGATGGTAATAGTGAGTTAGTTAATATTTCAAGATGATTCACATATGAAAATGAAGTAACATAAATTAAAAAGTGAACATCTCACCACCAAAGCTTGATCCTCCAAAAAATGACTCAAATATATCAAAAGGATTATGAAACGAGCCTCCTCCTCCTCCTCCCATCCCTTCTTTAAGGGCATCTTCACCATATTGGTCATACATTTCTTTCTTTTCAGGATCACTTAAAACTTCATATGCTTGACCTAACTCCTTAAACTGATATATGAATCAAATTTTCAGTATTAAAACTGAGAAACAAAAACAGCATGAAAACTTGGCAGGATTTCAATCATAAAATGATACCAAATGAACAACATATTTCAGATAAATGAACAGAATCAAAGCAAGAGATATAGCTTGCTCTCTCAAGTCTTCTGCATGCAATATTAATATCCCTTTTTTTTAAGATTTATAATATATACTCCCCTTTTTAAAAGGTAACTGTAGAATCATTAATATAAAATGTCTAAAAATTTATATGGTCAAATAATAGACATTGTCCTAGTAGAAAGTCCAGTGATTGCATGGGATAATCATAATGAAGAACCGCGGTATATTGCTCTCACCTTCTCAGGATCTCCACCCTTATCTGGATGGTTCTTCATTGCCGCCTTTCTATAGGCCTTCTTGATTTCATCTTCATTTGCACTCTTTGAAACTCCAAGAATATCATAATATTTGGAGTTATCACTCCTCCTTGGTCCACCACGTCCAAACATGACTACAGCACCTCAAAAAAAACTACACAAGAAAATAAAGGAATTATAAACTTTTAACTTAAAAGAAAACAGAAAAGAATAAATCTTTATAGCTCATCAGAGGGTGCATAGCTTTTCAATTCATTTGCTTTGCATAAGTTTAAAATGCTAATAAAATCCTAAACAACTCAAACCAAAATCAAGTCATAGCACTTCATTCTTTAACCACAAGAAAGCAGACAACTTACTTCACAAAATTAATTTTACTATCTATATTTCCACATCCAATTACAAAAACTAGAGACAAACAACAAAACGCGTAAAAAATAGAAAAAAAAGGTCAGAAATTTCTCAAGAAACAAATAAAAAAAATTAAAAATCAACTATCCACTTGGGGATCTAAGAAACTCAACCATCTAGAACCTTAATCCAATTGAAAGAACAACGGAAATAGATCTGAACCCTAAACATCAATCAACATGCAGGAGCAACAAAGAAAGAACATACCAAGCCGGCGTGGAAGTGGTGACTCTTCTTTTTCTACAAGGGAGAACCGAAACCCTTGAAGAGAAAGAAGGAGAGATAAAGAGTGAGAGAGAAATATCACTGGCCTACTTTGATATATTTATGGTGAATTGGGTTTAGAAAAATTAAGAAGTGAAAAAAAAGGATTTGGAGAAACAACAACCAAACAGTATAGTTGTTTGTTTGTTAATATTATGATTAACTATTATTTAGGTTGTTTTGGTCTAATACTTCGCTTAGGATTCAAGCACGCTGCTGTGGCAGCGATTTCGATTGGGTGAGGATTCGGCTGCTTGGACCGTTGAGTCCACCACGCCTTGGTTATTATGCAATTGGTCATGCTTGAAGGTGTTTCTACCAATTTTGTTTTTCGATATCTTCCATGAGATTACAATTCTTATTTTTTTACTTATAATAAATAATTTAATTTAAAGAAAATAACAATTTTTTTAAAATCAGAATAAATCTATGATATAAAATTAAGAATATAAAAATATTCAATTATCCATAACCTTAACACAAAGATAACCATTTTTTTTTACTTATATAAAAAATTTATTTTAAGAAGAAAAAAAAATCTATTATAAAAAATTAAGAATATAAAAAGTTCAAATTATCCATAGGCTTAGCACAGTTGAAAGAACGTAGAGAACAACACATTTGAATCTAAAAAGTTGATCATCCAAAAAGAAAAGAAAGAAAAAGCATGTCAAATCATAAAGTACACAGAGATAAATTATAAATTGTAAACTTAGATTTATATTTTTTAGTTTACAAACAATAAATTATAAACTACAAATTATAATTTATAAATTAAGATCTATGAATTACAATTAGTAATATGCTTTAATTAAAGAAAAGTAAAAAGAAGAAGAGAGAGAAAACAAGTTTCCTTCTCCTTCGTGCAAATAGTGCAAACAGATCCCCTTCTCCATAACTCACATCTACCTTCTCTCCTACATCAAGAATCCGAGACCGCCATTGTGCTCACGGCGGAAAATAACAGAAGACCCACCGATTAGAATTTCGTTTCGGTAAGTTTGAATTTTAGGGTTTTTACAAGTTAAAATCTGGGGTTTTGAGAATTTAAGAAATTACGTGTGGAATTAAAAGTTTCCTCTTACTCTGTCACTCCCTAATTTCATGTTCTCGGGTTTAATTCTGTTTATTACTTCAATTTCGTTTTTAGGGTTTTTCAAATTGGGGGAGAACAGTACCTCTTTCTTAGGTGTTTTGGCGTTCCTAAGACTTTATTAGAATTAGGTTGACGTGTAACATCACCCACAGGTAAGGGAAGCTTCTTTGATTTTTACTGATTGTATTATATTGATGAAAAGTTTAATAAAGTGAGTGATGAGTATGCTTGTGATATATATACGTGCTATATGTAATATGAGAGAATGTTTGTGATATATATACGTGCTATATGTGATATGAGAGTATACTTGTGATATATATACGTGTTATATGTGATATGATATTGTGAGCACTTGTGGAAACCCTGCAGTGTAAACTATTTTGAAATAGATATTTTTGTATCATTGAATTTCTAAATTGTATGGTTGATTTGTGTGGTTTGAAGGAGAAGGGATGTACCGTTTAACACTACAACAAAAACATCAAATAGTGACTGAATTTTCGGTCATTAAATGACCAAAATCGGTCACTAACTAAAATAGTGACCGAATCAGTGACCGATTGAGTCGAGTCACTATATCGATCACTAACAAAAATATTAAAAAATTAAAAATAATTTTTTATAACCCCCTTTCTATTTTATCTAATTATAATAGTCTCTAACATCTAGGCATGGCAACGGGCGGGGCGGGTTTTGCCTCCCGATCTCCGCCCTCGACTTTTTAATCATCCCCATCTCCGCCTCCGATCCCGCTGAGGTTAGAAATTAAGTCCCCATCCCAGTCCCAGCTGGATTTCGGGTACCCCATCCCGTCGGTCCCCGATCTATATTATTTTTAAAAAGATAATTACATTTATAATAAATTAATTTTACTATCTATTTTTTATATATAAATAAATATTTATAATTTTATAATTTATAATAATTATTAATTAAATATACATTTTAATTTATTATATTTATATTAAAATATGTATGTAAAAGAAATATTTTATCATTTTTTATTTATAACATTATTATTATTATTATTATAATACTTGTATTCAAATATTTAAATACTTATAACATTATCATTATTATTATAATACTGTATTCAAACATTTGATTATATATATAAGTTAATTCATTTTTAAGTTGTAATTTAAAAATATGAAATATATAGTTTATAATGAAATATTTAATAAGTTAATTATTATTCAATTAATTCAAAGTAATAAAAGTTTAAATTATCAATTCCTTTAATCCTTTAAAATACGATTATTTTATTAAGATAAAATTTGATATATGATAAATAAGAATAATAAGATAAACAAATGACATAATAAAACCTAATAAATATAAATTATAAATAAAATAATATTAGTTACTATTAAGATTTATGTAAAATATTTAGAAAAAGATAAAGAATAAAAAAATTAAGCTGTGTTCATCAAATTGATTGAAAAGATTGAAAAAAAAAACAAATTGATGAGAGAGATTAAGAAAATATGAAAAACTACAAGGTATAAGAGAGAATAATATAATAAATTAATTGATATAAAAGATTAAAAAAGATAAAAAAATTAAAAAATTAAAAAATAGGTACAAGAAAAATAAAAATTGGTAAAATATAAAAAATGACCTTATATGTAATAGAAAAAGAAAAGAAAATACTTTTAAAATATTAATATTTTAAAATTTAAATTTAAATATAAAGTCGGGGCGGGACGAGGCTGGGGTCGGGGTGGGGATTGCATTACCCATCCCGCCTCGCCCTGACTTTTAAAGCGGGAAAACCCGAACCCACCCCCGCCCCCGGTCAACTCAGGTTTTCCCCGTCAAACTCGGGGCGAAGACGGGTCGGTCCCCACGGGGACGGATTTAATTGTTATCCCTATTGTATGTATGTTATGAAGCATGATAAATAGAAAATTATTGTGGAATGTTTTTTTTAAGATGTAAATTCATCAATAAATCATATAAAATTACTAATGATTAAGCAATCGATTCAAACAACATTCATGGATACCTTATAATCATACAAGGTTCCATACACTCAAGTTGCTCCATTTAGAAGCCATAAAATTCACATAATTTTAAAACTTTAAAAATTCATAAAAAATAGAAATAGCATTCAAATAATTCCAAATAAATTTCTAATTAACTTAGAAGTAAAGGGACTTCTTCTCAATGTTATTTCAAGCAAAAATGAATTATAAAAACTATCCTACCCCTTACCTTATGTTGTAACTTGGTGAAGAGTAACTCTTGATCAAATAATCTATCAAGTCTTTGAGTCTCCTCTTTGCACCTCTAAGTAGCCTCCTACATGTCAATTAAATACCCCAATAAAATCCTTAATTCCAACCATATTAGACCTCTAAAATCTCACCTCCTTCATAGCCTAAAATTCTAAAATTCAAGACTATGGTTCTTTGAGTTATAAAATCATTTCTAGGGCCTAAATTGATGTTAATGGAATTAATACAAGTAGAAGGGAGTAATGGAAGTAATACACTTAGAGTAGGAAGAATCCTAATAACAAATATGGACAATGTTCACTATTTCAGAATTTTCTAGAGTTATATAAGCTGTTTTGGCATGAGGTTAGAGCCAAAATTTCAATAACTTAATTACCTACAATATTGATGAAGGAAATAAATTCAAATACCCTGTAGAATAAATGCAGTTTTTCAGTTTACATTGGTTGTTTCCAACATGGCTCAACTACAATAACACTCTGAACATGCCTTGGTAATTTGACTATAACTCATGCTACACATAAGCTATTGACATGAAACAAATTTATAAATTTCAGAAATATAATTTCCTACAACTTTTATGAAGTAATCAAGTCATAATTTCACACATATCAATCCCAGTAATTCAAAAACCGAGGCTGTTGAAACAGGGCAACCTCTTAACTTCACAGCTATAACACTTGACAGTAAAATGAACATAACTTAAGCTACAAATATCCGTTTGATGTGAAACAAGTTTCTAAATTTTGATAACTTAAAGGGCTACAACTTTTATGAAGATACTAATTCCTAATTCTGTTCACACAAGTCCCAAAATTCAATGAACAGTGACTTACGAATTAGGGTACTTAGGGTTTTTAGCTTAATCACTTCTAATCCTCAATTCTAAGTATTATTCTAGTGTCCTAGGTGTAAAACCTACAATAATACTCTTTCTACTCCCATTCAAACTTAGCCAAGTGAGGAAAAAATTTGAAAATGCACCGTTTTGAAAAATAAAACCGTAGAAATGAGAGGAGATTGAGAGAAACAAACTTACCTCTTGGAGTTTCTCAAGAAAATCAATATTTCACCCTCAAAATCAAACTTCAAAGTGAGGAGGGTTTGAGAGAAAGCGAGAAATGATAGAAAGGAAGAATTTACGGGAAGTTAAAGAGAGAATACCTTTTTAAAAGTCAAAATATAATTTTTTAGATATATTATTATTTTATTATTATTTTATTTTTTTTTCCAGAAAATTTCAGAAAATCACAAATAATCTAACAAACATAAAACTTTATAGTCACTTTCCCCAATCCCTAATAATTTAATTATTAAAATTTTGATAAAAATTTTATCCAAATTTAACAAACTAGAGGTACTGAGAATTAGGATGTTACAATTGTGACCTAAGCACTTGTACCAAAATGCACCTGAGTGAGTATTTTCAATTTCACGTTTAGTATCACGTGATTCTGTATTAAGGATTTCATTATAGGTGATCATAATATCAAGTAAATACTGATTATCATAAGCCAAAAGTGAACTAGTTCCAACAATATCTGAATTAAAAGACAAACTGAACTTATTGTTTCCAAATGAACATAAATAACTTAATTTGTCCAAATAACAAACTGAAACCAAATTCCGTCTAAATAACGGTACAACAAAAGTGTCTTTCAAATTCAAATAAAAACCAGTACTCAATAACAATTTAAAATGCCCTATAGCTTCCACCTCTACCGATTTGTCATCTCCAACATATATCCATTTTTTTAAGAATCAATTAGCTTCCGGTAGCTTAGGCAACCCTTCATAGAAACACTGATGTTAGTAGTTGCACCTGAGTCTAACCACCAAGTGTTACTAGGTATTGACGCTAAATTGACTTCGAACGGACCAAAATAGGAAACATACTTTTGAGGATTGAAACATAATTTAAATTGGCGGATACTGAAGCAATTGTAGCTGAATTTAGAACACGAGAAATAAACTAATTATGCTCACATTATATAAAAAATAAATAATTATAAATATATATTCAAATAATGGTTTAACCCATCTCAAGACACCAAATGCACCATCAATATCAAGTCTTTGGACAAGTAATATTAACTCGCTAGAGATATCTTGTTGTAATAATTAAACATTGACAATAAAGCACGTCCAATAACAAACCAGTCTTTGGATTGATTTATCATCGACAAAGCAAATCCTTATAATTATCACATGTTTATCATTACAAGTGTGTATGCAATTCGGCCAAATATTAATCTTCCTTTGGGCCGACTAATACTCGCATGAATATACACAACCATTAACATTCAATATTTTTCATGAACTGCCCAATTCAAGAGAGGTTACTTTGGTGACTTCTTGACTCAATTTGCTCACAAAAAATATTAAACTACCAAAAAATTAAATATTTTATTTATAGAACAAAACCAAATATTTAATATTTGCAAACTAATTCAAAAGATAATCACCTCATTAGAATTTCACTAAGGATGAACACCTCCCTAGAATCTCATTAGGGATGAACACCTCCTTTGAACAAATCAAAGCATGAAAATCACCTTCTATTCCACCAATACATAAAGGATGAACACCTCCCTAGAATCTCATTAGGGATGAACACCTCCTTTGAATAAATCAAAGGATGAAAAACACCTCATTTTCCACCAACACATAAGGATGAATATCTCCCTAAAATCACATTAGGGATGAAACAGAGATAGTTCTGAGTCTCTTTAACACACTGCTCTAAACCCTAAAAGGGGATTAAACTGTAATCACTCAAACCCTAAACAGGGAATTTAACATCAACTTTTCCTTAAATCCCTAGAGGATAAATGCAATAAAATAATAACAGCCACACATGTGGAAACATTCACCAGTTGCCTAAGATCCTCTATGTTGGGAATTCCCCAAACACCACCCCCAATTCCAAACTCATCCATATCCACCATGAAAAGAAAACGAAAACAAAACCTATAAAATTAAATAAAAACAAAAAACAAAAGAATCCAAGAGAACAGAGAACCCAATACAAGAAAGATTGAAATTTGAAACACTATTTCTTTCTCAGTAAAACTTGAAACTTAAACTGAAACAAAAGGGAAAAACGAAGAAGAAGAAGAATCCATAGCTTTCTCCACGGTCCATCAGCAAGCAGAATCAGATTGGGGCTGTTACCCCCAAATTTAAATTTTAGGGTTCACGAAAATTGGAGATTATTCTCCACTTAGGGTTCATAAAATTGAATAATTTGAATTGTTTAAAACAAAATTAATCCTAATTTTCATAATTAGGGTTCTATAAATTAAACATACATGAATCAAATATGGGCGGCTCTGATACCAATTATTGGAAAATTAATAATAATTATATTCCTAATTTTGATTCTAACTATCAAACATAAACATTATCCCATACTCATAAAAATGTGTAAATTGAATGCGAAATTGTACCTGAATTAGCCATAATGATGATGTCTTTGTAGAACAATATATTGATCTTATGGTCTTCCACCTGTATTTCCCTCTTGATTTTCTCTCTTGATGGGGATAGAAAGAAAGGAAGAGGACTGAGACTTACGTTCTGTGTGTGCTCCCAGAAGGGGACCATGACCCTTTAAATAACCAGAATTATGTTAATTACTTAAGTTTTAGTATTTTCAATTTGGCCCCTCATCAAATTAGAAATTGCTCAATGGTCTCTACACAATTTTATTTTCATGACATATGTCTTTAGGAAAAACTTTAATTTAGTCAGATCACTTTATTATTTGGCTTAATAAATAATGACTAACACATTTAACATCTATATATATATATATATATGTATATACATATATATATATATATATATATATATATATATATATATACATGTATATACATATATATATATATATACATGATCCAAATTTTGCAACACTGAGTAACAATATTTTAAATAATTTGACATTTGTGAATATTATTACTTTGAAAGGTATCATTATAATTGGTGTGACATTAACACTGGACATCAAATTCTATAAGCACAATTCTTTTAATAAAAAATGTTAATAGTAAACGTGGGAACAAATCAATACTTATGTTTATTTGACATCAGGAAAATTAACTATTTCAAACAAAATTATTTACTAAAATTATTATTTATACATCAATAAATTATTAGACACACAAACTATAAATAAAGTGATAAGAATATTATATATCCATTATTGGAACGAAAAAATGCATCTCATATCGGATGGAACTACGAGAAAATCACAAATCTATATTGTATCCTTCTTTCCCTGCATAATATTACAATGTATCAAAGTCAAATATTTTAAAAAAAAAACACAAATGTCATTAAAATACTCTAAAATACAAACAACCTTGGTGGGAATATTACACTCTTTCTAGCATATAAAATATTAGTCCGTAATATAACCAAATCCATCAGTAATGTAAAATAAAAAATAAAAAATTATAGATAATATTAATATATGTGATAACTTAACTAATAAAAAATATAAAATAATCATGATAAATAAATAATTTAATGAATTAATTATTTAACTAAAATTATTAATTTATTAATTATTTAAATAATAAATATTAATCTATTAATTGCTTACTTTATAAGTATAAAATATATTAATTATTTTATTTATAAAAATCTATTGATTAATTATCTAATAAATAAATATTAATTTAGTATGAAAATTAAAGATATTATTTGGTATGATAATATATTTAAATTATTTGATATTTAATTTAATATACATATATATATATATATACATATAATATAAATATTATATATATATACATATATATATATATATATATATATATTAATATTCGTTAGTATATATAATATTAGTAAATATGCAAATATATTTGTTTTAAAATATTTTTGAACAAATTAGAAATAAACCAAATTTCAAATATTTAATATAGTCTAATATTAAAACTATATTATAAATTTTAAATAACTTTTCAAAATTTGAAATTTATATAAAAAAAATGTAAAATTCAATCCTTACAAATAACATAAACATAAGTAATTACATACAGATAAAAAAAGTGATTAAAAAACATACATAATTATTGTGTTCGTTATAATTGTTTTTGTTGATTATACTAATTTTAAAGAAGAGGTATTTATAACTAATTTTAATTATTATATAAATTTATATTTAAAATTACTTTTAATAAAAGAAATTTAACTATTTTTTGAATATATTTTTTATATTATATTTTTAATGTATTTTAAGAAATTGAAATAATTTAATTTTGAACATGAATAAATTTAAATAAATTTTAATAATAGTAATTTTAATTTTATTTATGTCTCAAAACTTTCAATTAAATGTAATCCAAATGTTATAATTTATTTCTTCATTTCTTTCTACAATATCATCAAAGATATTTAGGGTTTCTAACTTCCCTCTCCTTCCTCAAAGACATGTGGGGTTTTTAATTTCTTTTTCGTGCTCAACCCTAATCACGCTGTCACCAATGGTAGCACCATTGTGGTCAAAGATGATGCTATTATAAATAAGAAGGTTGAGATGGAAGATATGGTAAATTTGAAAGTTGTGCTTTAATATTTAGCATTTTCTTAACTTTGATATTGGTTACGATGAAAACACCAACGCAATCAAAGATGACATTGTTGCGAAGAAGGTCCAGAATGAGTCAAGATATGGTAAGTTCAAAAATTGTACTTCAATTTTTCACTCCTTCCTTAACCGTAGGGTAGAATACGATTTTGCAGGTAAGAGAGACATGAAAATAGATTATTTTTATGGTAATTTAAGCACTTTGATGATTATTTGACATCGAAGCAAATAATACGTGTATGAGAAGATAATTTATGATGTCAAGATAGGATTGTAAAAGGTTGCATTTAAGAGCATGAGCTAAACCTAGTTTTATGTTCGAACAAAATAATATATATTTTTTGTTTAAAAAGGGGTATTGAACTATTTTATATTTTGAATTGGAATGTGTGGTTGTGTTGCATGTAAGAATTGGAAAATGTATATTGTTGTGATTGTCTTGGTTTTATTATGTTTTGGCATGACAATTCTCCTTTTAGATGCCTTTTTAAGACCTTTACAAATTAATTTACATTGAATGGTGTTAGCCATTACAACATATATATCTGACGTGTTCCCACATGAAGGTACAATATATTGCATTCATTGTACTCAAAAGATTATAAATTGTATGGAATATGGATGCAACAAGATGAGCTACACTTTATTTTGTAATGCAATGTTAGGTTGAAGACCTTGGTATGTTTTAGTGCATATGAATTTTGAAAGAACTTGCCCACTTGATGATTTGTTCCAAAATTTTAGGAATGAGAATTAATATTGGCAAAATTAAAAAAAATAGCGACCGATTTATATCGGTCACTAATATATTAATTGAATTATTTAAATAATAATCAGATTATTGTTAATGACAAGATTCGAATCCAAGTACCTTAGAGTTAGAGACTTATACTCTAACCACTAAAATACTAATATTTTTCTGTAATAACTTACAAATAATTTATATTTATATACAAATAAATGTATATCCAGTATAAATATATAAATATAAAATCTATAAATACAAATATATTTATATATTTTGATATATTGATATATTTGTACATATATATATATTGATATATTTATATATTTAAAATTTAATTTATAAGATGGAAAAAAAGAATTTGATAGCTTGAAGTAGAGATGAAAAAAAGAAAAAGACAAGAACCTTAATATTTTAATAAAGAATTTATAATATAAATATTAAAATATTAAAGATAATATTATATTTTTCCAAAGATAATGAATGTTTTTAATTCATTATTTATAAATTTAATTAATTAAAAAATATTAATATTATTCATTCATCATTTAAGAAAAAAATTTAAAATATAAATATTAAATATTAAAAATAATATTATATTTTAAAAAAAAAATTTAGAAATTTTTTTAAAAACATATATAAATTATATTTACATATAGAAAATATTAAAGATATCCACAATTAAAAAAAATACTAAAAAAATACCAAAATATTATAATTTAAATTGATGAAATATATTTTTAAAAAAGTTATATTTATTAAAGTATTAAAAATATTTTGTAATATATAAGTTAAAAAAATTATCATTAAAATTTTTAAAAATTATTAGTTTTGTAATTTTTACACAATGAAAATAAATTACAAATATTATAATATATTGGTATATTAGTATAATATAGTATATTTGTATTCTAATTTTTAATTAAACTAAAATTACACTAATAATGTATAATAATATATGCGGGGATAACAAATTTAATCCAATTACTTATGTATATATCTTTTTTAACTTTTTTTTTCTTTTTAAACTTCTCACATTCTACATTTTTTTTAAAACTCTATCATTTCTACTACATTATCATCATCATCTCCTCCAATATTCTATTTTATCTTTACAATAATTAGTCTTCTTTTATAGGATACTTTATTTTCTATTTTTATTATTTATTTTCTTATAATTTAAAATAATTAATATTATTTTAACATTTATTTTTATGATTTTTACTATAATAAATCAAATAAAATGGTTCGATAATATCAATTAATTAAAATCAAATAAAATGGTTCGATAACTACATTAAAATTATTAATTTTAAAAATATAAAATATATTTAAAAAAAAATACTAAAATTATAGATTGAAAAGAAAAGAGAATAAGCAAATACTCTTTACTTTATATTATATTTAAGTGTGTGCATAAATGTTGACATTTTTAACTATAAAGAAACAGTAGAAAAATATAAAGATAGAATTTGAAGAAGTGAATTTTGAAGATAAAAACTATTTTTATATAAATTTATTCTAGTAAATCAATTAACAATAATAATACATAAAATTTTAAAACTAAACTAAAAAAAAAAGTATGTTTAAATTTTAAAAAAATTACATTACTAAAAGTATCATATTATATTAAGATTTTCATTGTTTTTGTTAATTATAAATTTAAATGTGTTTCATAAATAAAATTATAAATTTAAATGTATTTCCACTTTTGATCTATCATAAATAAAAATAAATAGTATCTTATAAATGTTGTTCTATTTTAATCCATCATTAAATTTGTTTTATATTATTTGAGACAAGTATTTATTTATTATTATTTTATTTTAAATTATTTTTTAACTTTAAATTTATTTTTTATTTTTATTATTTATTTTCTTATAATTTAAAGTAATTAATACTATTTTAACATTTACTTTGATGATTTTTACTATAACAAATCAAATAAAATCATTTGATAATACAATTAATTAAAGTCATCACATCAAAGATTTAAATGACTAGATTAAAATTATTAATTTTAAAAAATATAAAATATATTTTAACAAATATTCTTCGTTTATAATATATTTAAGTGTGTACCAATCTTGACCTTTATAACTATAAAAAAATAATTAAGAAATGTGAAGATAGAAATTAGAGAAGTGAATTTTGTAAATAATTTTTTTATAAATTAAAGCACTTATATCGAAAAGAAAAAACATGAAAGAAGAAAAAACGAATTTGATGACTTATCATAATATTAAAAATTTGGATGAAATAATTATGTATAACAATTTTTTAGTATATTATGTTTTTAAATTTGCTAATAGAGAAAAAGTTTCAGAATGCAAAATGTTAAATATTTTTAAATATTAAAATTGACTTTATAAAAAATTAGGAAAAAAAACAATTAATCAAAAAATATAATAATGATAAAAATATTATAAAAAAGAGTTCAAAATGTTAGACAAATGACATCTAGAGGGGATGAATAGATGAACAAATTAAAATAGTTGTCAAATTAAAAATTTATTTTAAGATGTCTAATAACTTGTTAATTCAATTTAAAACGAAAACGATAATATGATCAGGAAGATATAAGAGAAGTGATTAAGAAAAGTAGAGTGATAAAGGGAATATAAGAGCACGCAGTAATTTATACTGGTTCAGGTATAGTCAACCCTACATCCAGTTTCCAATCACCTCTAACACGAGAGTGACCTCAATTTACTATCTTTCAAATTCAGTCTACAAATTACAATCAACTCAGCAGAGAAACCAATGAAGAGTAAACTAATTAAAAAGACAATCACCTTAGAAACCCACTAAGGATGGACACCTCCCTAGAATCTCATTAGGGATGAACACCTCCTCTGAACAAATCAAAGGATGAAAACATCTCCTTAAAATCCCACTAAGGATGAACACCTCCTTAGAATCACACTAGGGATGAACATTTTTTTAGAATCATACTAGGAATGAAAAACACCTCCTTTGCCACCAATACATAAAGGATGAACATCTCCCTAGAATGACACTAGGGATGAATACATCTTCTGAATAAATCAAAGGATAAATAACACAATTGATTAACTTAAACCTCTTAAACCCACAAAGGATGAAAGAGTAAGATAAGAACAATCATCCACAAATGATGAAGGTAATAAAAATAAGGACAGTCACACTTGGGTAATAGAGACAACAAATTCTAGAAGTCTGTAGAATGTCAACCTCCAAGAACAAGTGTGATTAACAATAAAAGCACAATAGGCAATGGAGAAGAGAATTTTGGTAAAATATCTCTCCATACCCAGTATTCTAAGACTCTATCTAGTCTTCAAGAATCATCTTGAGCTTGCTTGAATGTTGAATTAAATCTTTATCAAAATCATATATTGACCTTGCTTGATTCTTGAATGTTATTGACTTGAATCATCATCAAAATCATCTCTTGGGATGTAGGGACATATTTCACATTACCATCAATCTCTCCCTCATTGTTTTCACAAAAATGTATTATAATATTTTCAGTTTTAGTTTAATTATATTTTTAATTCTCAAAGTAAAAAAATATATTGTAATTATTTTAATTTAATAAAATATAATTTAATTTTTAAATACTAAAATTAAGAGATTAAATAATAATAAATTTAAATCTTTAAATTTAGTATTTAGAAACTAAAATGATAGTTTCTCTATTTTAAAAAATTAAAATAAATATTAAAAAAAGAACTAGTATTATCTTAAATTTATTAAAAGTATAATTAAATTTCTATTTTCTTATCCAAGTTTAGAAATTTTTTTAATAAAAATCCAATATAAAAATTGACAAGAAAAACTAGGCTTTGAAAAAAAAAATAATAATTTTGAAGTTATTTCAGTGATGAAGTTTCCAAATGTAATCTATGTATTTATTGAACAAAATTGGAGATGTGTTGAATATAGATTTAAATATATTTTTAATTTATTTAATATATGGTTTATTTTTAGTATTTATAAAATGGATTAATTTTAAATTTTTAACTTTTCTAGCAGTCTATTTTTAATTTTTATTATTAGTTTTGTTAAAAATGAAAAATATTAATTAGTATACTTAAAGTAAAAAGTATTTCAACTAAAGATAAATATATTTTTATAAATAATTTAATTAAATAATATATTTATTATTTAATGTATATCAATTATATTTTGATGTAAATTTTTGTCTGATATATCAATTATATGAAAACAACCATGGTTAAACAATTAATAATAATAAAGCAATAAATTTAAAAAATAGATTAAAAATAAAATATTATAAAATTAAATTGCAATAATTTGATTGAAATTGTAATTGTTTTAATTAATTAAGTTAATGAG